GACATTGTCCAATATTTTTCAGTGTTTTGGTCCCTACTACATGCATTTTAGTGCAATTTCACCTAGTAATTATATTTTATTACTTTTTTTTTGCTCAGAGAGCCACAATGCAAAATTCTGAGAACAGTGAAGCTGAGAAATAACTGCACTTTGATTCAAGAAGTGGGCATTCAGTAATTCCTTATCAAAATTCAAACTGAAGTGACTGTCCACAAAATCAGTTTCAGTTTAATTACGGTTTGAAGTGATATATTTTGTATGATATCTTAATTCATTCTCTATCTGGCACATTAGGGCTGCAGTATTTAGTAATTTATTACATTAGATTAATATATTTTAAACCATTTAATTATTAAAAGAATACAAACAATAATCAAGTAGACTTTTAAAAAAGTTATTTGTTTTTAATATGTTTTTATAAAAAATGAAAATAAAATAAAATAAATAATAGAAATACAATTTCCTCTTCTATCACACAGGAAGGAATGCTTAATACAAAGCAATATTTGCTAAGATGTTTGTATACTCTAAAAATAATTGATCTTAACTGTATTATATGGGAGCTAATGGGAAGCCCAGTACTGCGAGTGGAGGGGGGGGAGAACAGAAAGCAGTCAAGGGATCTGCTTAGAAGTGGCTCATCTATGGTCAGTTACAATAGAGGCTCCATGGACCCAAACCAGATGTGCAGACAGAGCACTGCCAGACAGTGTAGTTCAGTACTGAGTGAAACAGACTATTTTTAAAGAGTTTTCTTCAGGAGGGCCACAAGAAGAAAATGTTTTTTTTTCTTCTACACACAGACATGTTTATGAAGTGAGAAATTGTTTCAAGGCAGCAGCTAGAAATTCCTTCACTAGCTTATATTTCCTCTCAATTCTTTTTATTATATGTCTTACAAGTACATGTGTTTGTCAAATCATTTAGCTTCTGAGGAATTCAGTGTCAATAACAACTGGAACATAGATCTCTGCTATCTACCTGCTGCACACACACTTTTTGGCATAAGGTTGATCTGGTATAATGCCAGGGCAAAAAAGGTTACATCTATTTATCTGATTCCCCATGACTGAATTCAGCCCAGGATATCCCTGAATATCCATAAGCTTTTACAGGGTTCAGTTTGAGAAGCTGGATGCTTCTTCCTTTGTTCCTCCAAAGAGTTTTCAGTTATTACAAAGTGAAAGAGGATAACTGTGCTGTACAAAACTAATACGGATCTTGTAGTCCTGCAGATATTTTAAAATGTATTGTGGCACAAGCTCACTTGGCCTAAATGCACTGGAGAGTAAGCAGGAGCTTAAGAAGTAAGTTCCTGCATTCCCAATTCATCACAATCATGCACACAACAGAGGGAAATACCACCTCTGTTCCAGTGAAAACAGAGTGCTAAAAAAAGGGAGGCATTTGCTCGAACCAGCCACGAACCAGAATCAGCCACACTGGAATTAGTAGGTAGCATGTGGAAACTGGAGAAGGGGACGACAGAGGATGAGATGGTTGGACAATGTCATCGAAGCAACCAATATGAATTTGACACAACTCCGGGAGGCAGTGGAGGATAGGAGGGCCTGGCACCCCCATGGGGTCACGAAGAGTCGGACACGACTAAACGACGACGATGTGGAAACTGGGACAAGGTGAGACTGTATCACCTTCAAAGGACCTTTGACAAAGAGATTGTTGATGTCATATAATAAAGAGTCATATAATAAAGAGTCATCATGAAGGATGCCATTCAATGGCAAGTTAGAGATAAGAGCTTTGAAAGGACAGGACAGACAAAAAAACAGAAAACAAAACCCAAAACCCCTCTATGCTTCTGCCACAGTGAGGACAGAAGGTTTATAAATCAGATTATGCCACTGAGGCATAATAGATCATTTTTGATGCTATGTGGATTATGGCCTCCACATGTGTTTTGCCTGAGAGCAATTTATTTTGCTCCTTTTTAGAGTTGTCCCAGTCCTTTCTTGCACACTGTTAGAGTTACTTTTTGGTGCAATTTGGAGCATTCCTAATTAGCCCATTAGGTTGGTCCACACAAAAATAGCACTATGTGTTATTTGAGGGGCCATCTTGAGATGTACTTGATGAAAGGGACAATGGACAAAAACACTCCTCTATTTCCAACTACTCTACTGTTTTAAATTTTTTAATATATATTGTCCTATTGACGTAGTAGTGTTCTAGATAAATGAAATACCTTGGTGGAATTATATGTAGATGCACATAATAGGTAGATGTATTCATATTTCACTATGTCACTTATTTCATTTAACAAAAACAAAGTCTCCATCACCCACTGAATGATGGCCATGGGAAAAGGGAAGAGGGCAGGAACAAGAGTGTCATTAATCGAAAGGGGAGCAAATTGGGGTGATTCAAGGAGATTCGTCAGTGCGAAAGCAGTGATCAGTGTGAATGGAAAGACTGCTCAAGTGATACAGAGTACACGAAGGACAAGAACTTTTTAAGCACAAACCAGATTGCTCCAACTCCCCCCATGTGGACGTGCTCTCTGTCTCTCAAATACATGAAAAGGGAATGCTGTTAGCAAATATTACTATAACATATGTGTTAAAACTCCTGCCAACCTAGCAGTTCAAAAGCATGTAAATGTGAGTAAATAAATAGGTACCACCACAGTTGGAAGGTAACAGTGATCCGTGTCTAGTCGTGCTGGTGACGTGACCACGGAAACTGTCTATGGACAAACGTGGCTCTGCGGCTTGGAGACGGGGATGAGCACCGTGCCCTGTGGTTGAACACAACTGGACTAAATGTCAAGGGGAACCTTTACCTTTACCTATGTGTTAAGATCCTAGCTGAAAGTAAATTGTAACCACAGGCATGAGTACCTTTTATGTAACCATTACGATGCTAATAAAATTACAATTTGGTTCATATGAAAACTCTGCTTGCTTCTCATTATAGAAGGCTGCAAGCAAACCCAGAAAAAGAAAAGAGCAGGTTAAAGGTGATTATTCAGATTGAGCTGGTCACAATGTGTTTTGTTTAAACTCTTTTAAATTCTCTGCATCTGAATGCAGTGCAGATAATTACAGCTTTTTCATATCTATTCTTTGCTTAAGCCTTCTCTTTGAGCAGTGTTTGTCAGATAGTACAATCTTAGCTACAGCCAATATGTTCATTACACATTTCCAATCCTTTTATCTCATCCCTTTCAAAAATCCTGACAATGTTGAAACAGTATTTAGCAAGTCTGTATCCCATCACAATACAGTCAACATTTTCAACAGCAGCTTGGAACAATGCATATAGAATTCCTTAATTAATGGATTAATGGTAAGACAAAGTGTGCTAGCATATAGGTCATTAATATTGGCTGTCAGTACATTTATTTTTTGGACAGCACAACACTGAGATGATGCAGTAACCTTATAAAGTGCTGTTTTCCTTATTCCTTCCAAGCTTATTCCTTCCAATCCCCTCTCTTACATCCCTCCCAAATATACCTCAGACTTTGGTGGGATGTGCAAAAAAGTCTTGTCAGATCATCTCAGAGAACATGTCTCAGAAGTTGACAGGATGTCTAGAAAGACCTTGCCAGATTACTTTAATGGACAGTCTGTCATAACCCCAATCCTGGTCAGCTACAACACAGACACAAATGGGAAGGAAGGGAACTAGCAGCATCAAGAAGATCTGAAGTGCAAACATTGTAAATCAGTCTTTAGGCTGGTCTCATCAGACTTCAATCTAAAAACACATTTTCAATGCAGAGGCTTTGCCCTGGCATTTGTGTAAGGAGATTGCTAATTCACTTCTACTGGTATTTCCATCTAGAGAGCAGGATGCTTTCTACCAGAACACTACTTATGCAGTCCAAATCATTTCCATAGCTTTAGCTGAAACTTTGTTGTGAATATCATTCAGTCGGTCAAATGATGCCCTCCTCAAATCTCTGAATTTCTTCCTGTAGCCTTGTAGAGGCAATATAAATGCAATAATCATACTGTCAAAGCTATCAATTACCTGACCGTATCTTCCTGGTCTCATATTTCAACACACTCCTAATCATAATTGTTGCCTCTACTGTTCTCTCAGCTTCAGCTGCTAAAAGATATCCTACCGTATAAAGCAATTTTATTCTTACTACCTCAAAAGACTGAAATGCCTTTTATAACAGGTTGCCACCACTCCCTTTCTTAAAAACACCAGCTCACACTTTCTGTGAAGTCTGTGACTTAATCACTAGTCCTAGTTTATGCCAAAAAACAAGGCCACAGTTTATGTAACTGTAGTTGCAAATAGCTCATATTTATGACATCGCTACATCCTTGGTCATAAAGATTCCAGAAGTAATTATTTTGTAATCATTTCTGCATGTGATGGAAAATTATTTTCTGCTCTCTTGAGACTAGCAAAATAGAACAAAAGATCTACCTAACCATGGTTTAAGTGATGAGACCAAAATCTGAACAAAATGATACCACAGAATCTATGAACTATGAATTTAGGAGCCTTCTTGAATTCCAGAGCACACAGCCTTTTTCAACCTTTTTCATCCATCAAAGCAATATTGTTTTCCAAGACACATTGGGTAATGTTTAATAATCTTTAATAAATGCAAACACACTTCAAACAACCCAATTTTTATCTTGAAATTATTTTATTTGCAATGCTTTTCATTCTTCTTTTGAACACTAAATCCTGACTTGTTTTTTAAAGTCTGGTGTATTTGTCCTGGATTTTACAAGCAATGGTCTTTTATTGTTAAAGCTAAACAGGTTTTGGCTTACTCAGCATTTGAACTGAACTGCATCCTGTGCCAAACTGAGGTTCCCCAAAATGCAGGTATAACAAATGCTTTACACTCTGTCAATCTTCTGCATTTCTAAAATAAAGCCATTAGAACAAAACCTCATTTACTTTTAAACCCATAGGATTTAGACTTTTGCAAACAAATTCTGCTTTCACCACAGGAGCAACACTATTATTTTTAGCACTACTTTTTTTAAAAAAAATCCCATTACCTTTGCCTTTGGCAGCCATGTCCTTCATATTCTGGGAGGCAGTTGCTTGGACTGGAAGAGTCTAATGGCAAATGTGTTCGCAAAGCCACCGCAGAAATGCCCACAGAGATGGAGGAGAAATTAAATGAGGCAGAGGTGATTTGGTGGAAAGCGATGTTTTCTGTTATGTTGATGATCAGTGGATTCTGTTGACATGACAGCTCATATGTTGCTGAGGATGATTAAGAAATAAAAGAATTCTGGATCAAAGGTGAAATTTCTCTGAACTAAAGCTAGGTGAACTCTGGTTCTCTTTCATTTGGGTGTGATTTCTGCAGATTCCCAGGAAGAAGGAACAAAGGAAAAATCCCATAGTCCCAATAGGAACATTTGGAGAAATGCAGCCCTCTGATTCTGTAAACCCCTCACTTCACTTCCTTTGCACTGGTTCAGGGAGAAGAATACAGGGAGATCTCTTACCTCCCATCTTCACTGCTGCTCTTGCTATCACAATCACCACTGAACTAATGGCAGGAAAAGTGCCTTGTTTGGCACATGACAAGTGGATTTGAGGGAGTAAGGTGGAGAAGGAAGAATGGAAATTATCATCTGACTTTTATCAAATCTGAGTTGGAGGAGATACTTCAAATTCAGTACTTCAAAACAAGCCCCAGGAATTTATTTCAATTCTAGCACGAGCGAATGGCACCTTGACTCTAAATTCAGACTGAGAACTGATTCTTATTTTTTTTTTAAATGGCTCTCTAACAAATGGAAGCAAAGGCTTCTAGGAAATCCTTCAGAAGCTACTCAAGATGAATTCAATGAGAAGATCATGTATACTTCCCTAAAAAATACAGCAGGCTCAGCTTCATCATTCTTTGCTTGCAGCATCTGGCCACTATACAGCATTTGATGTGTTAGACACAGACCTTGAAAAGATACCATTTGGGATTATGATTTCCAGAGGGGCAGAGTTCTGGGAGGTATAGTCCCAAAAAGCAACTTTTAAAATCTCTGAATCCCTGCCATACATGGGCAACAAAAGAGTCTAAAATGCCAGGCCAGTGTCCTGTAAGAGGTTATATCCTTTCTATACTACCCTAAAATTTCATGTAACAAAAGAGGAGTTTGATGGCAATGGTTCACAAGTTCCTCAGCATACATACTGATGTACAAAGAATGCCTACCTCCCCCACATTAAACAGTTCACAAATATACAAAGGCAGCTTGTCATACAGTACAATCTAGGCCAGACATTCCCATGACATGCTAGCTTTGTACAATCAAGATTGTTGTTTTTTTCTTCCATCCAATATTCAAATACCCAAATCACTGCCTGTGGTCTGAAATAATACAGCCCATCACCAGAGGTATAATACAGGACTATTGCTTACGGAGACTTGAGGACTGGATTAGCATCAGTAGCCTTGCTTCCTGTATTTCTTGACCACCACCCCCCCAAGTGATATCTGCAGTCAAACAGGTTTTGTCATTCACATAGTAAATATTACAAAATATGTTTAGCAAAGGCAAAAACACTCCAAAAGCAGCAATCAAAACACTTGCAGCTGTTTAGGAAGGTAGTGTCTGTATCCAACCTGTCTGAACTACACTGGGCTCATTTTGTTCCTTACACTAAACAACCAGTAAAAAAAGGGAAGCAAAACATTATTTATTAATATATCCAAAATCTATTTGATCACTTATGCACTCACCAAGGAAGTAGCTATGGCCACTTACATCACCCAGGTGGACTGTCATAGTAGGCTTGGGCTGGTCATTTGTGGAAGAGCCAACAGATGCCAGGAAAACAAAGAGTGAAGTAGCTGTGCTGGGCCTGTTGAAGCACACCTGGGCTCCAGGAGAGAGCAAAAGATGAATATGTCAGAGCATGCAGGGAGGAAAAACACCCACCCACCCACCAGATATACATAGAGTTAAGCCTAGGAATCTGAGATTCTTCTACTTCCTACTGAAGTTTTGTTCATATTTTTTAACCATCTGCGTTACACTGTCAAATTAACCTTTGAGAAGGCACTTCTAATGGGAAAAACCTTTTTTCTTCACTACTATTTCTTTAGCCTGGTGACCATATGGCACTACTATTTCCATATGACTCTACCAAAGGAGTCACATAGTCTTGAGAACACAGGAGTATGATAGTCTGCTATTCCTCCAAAGACAAAGCAAATGCAAAAGTTATATAAACCAGAATCAGGCTGAAACATTCATTCTTATTTTTATTTCAAGCAACAAGATACTGTACATCCCTGGTCAGAATCCACAAAATCCTGTAAAAATAGATTTGCCCAAACACCATCAGGTAATCTATGCCATCTTTTGCCAACAATGCCCCTCTACACCCTACATGAGACACACAGGACAATCTCTTATGGAAATGGGTCGGTCAATGGTCTCAAATCTGACATCAGAAACCGCAATACACAGAAACCAATTTCGAACCATTTCAGTCTACCAGGATACACCATGGAATATTTGAAAGTCACTGTTTAGAGCAGAATCATTACAAATCAAGAATATAGAGGGAAACAGCTGAGATAAAATTTATATGCATGATGGACACTCGTTTATTTTATTTATTTTATTCGATTTATACCCCGCCCATCTAGACAGATAGTCTACTCATTTACTCATATAAATGGACTGAATATAAGCCTAGGTTTCTTAAATCATTGCCAAATAAAATACTTCTGCTGTCATCTACTGCCACTGTTATTTTTTTCACAACTACCAAGTGCATCTCTCATCACGAGGTTCAAAGGTAAAAACTGTCAATATTCCCAGCATTAACATATGATTCCTCTGCCATCTTCTTTCACTTTTATATATACTTTTATATATTCTCTTTTTCTCGCCTTCTTGGCTTTTAAGTGATCCCCAGACCTCAAACCCCCTTCACACACACACTGCTTCTCTTGTCTCTCCACACACATCCCCATCTTTGCCCAGACCTGGCGTTTGTTTTCTCTCTCCTGGAGGATTTTTTTAATATATAACAGAGCCCTAAAACAACATAAGCCATAAATTACAATAAAATTACATTTATTTCTGTGACCATATATCTGAATGGATGTGTTCATGAAAATGCATATTAATGGATAACCGTTAGTCTTTAAGGTCCCAATTGTTTATGTGTTGTCTTGTCTTGTTTCGTTCAATTTTGTCTAATGATCAGGTAACCAGGTTCATGATGTCCAACAGTAGACTATTCATTAAACAATTGATTAAGCCATATATGTGTGTGATTAGGAAGATTTCAGGGATTACTCTTGATCATGATTTGGGATGGGGGGGGAGTGGGAAACATGCAGAATACCAGATGTTGTTGGTTGCAACCTCCATCATACCTCATCACTAAACTTGATAGAGCTGATGAGAAGTCTAACCCAAAAAAGTATCTGGAGAACCATATGTTCTAGACTTATAGTTTAGAGGATCATTTGAATGTAGTATACCTTCATTCTGTCTGTTTTCCCCCCTTCAAAGCAAGCCTCATAACTGAAGAAATGTATTTATTTCCCAGACATCTTGAAACATTTCCCTGATTTACATGACAACCTAGTAGTTGTACTGGTTTCTATGGGACTTACTCCAAGATCAAATAGACATTTACTAGGAGGGAGTATGCTGTATTCGGCTCAGTGGGATTTATTTCTAGAAAACATTCATACATTTCTGCTGTAGAGCAAACAAAATTTAGACTACTTTAAAACTGTATCTGCTCTTTTACTATTTTGACTATGCTTACACTGTACTGATCCTGAAACTTGATACAGTGAAAGTTGGCATAACATGTTTTAAACAAATAAAATGTAGAAGGGAAGCAAAGGGGGAGAAAAATACATTTTTATTACTTGGCCATAAATAATTCTATTTTGAAAAATAATGAAGTGTACAAGCAGTGGAAGAAATAAAAGTTTTTAATAAAAACATTAAGGGTAGAAGTAGATGTAGAAGGGGTTAGTCTGTGCAAGGATTACAGGTGAAAATAAAATTAAAAAGACAAAAACGTGGTGGCACCTTAAAGACTGTTTTATATTTTTTTAATGCGAGCTTTCATGAACAAGTCCATTTCATCAGATGTAAAAAGATATAACATGGCAAATAAAATATTAAAATACAGAGATCGTGGTCAGTTGGTGAGAAAGTCAATGTGCTTTACATTATCTTGTATGATTGAAGTTAAGGAATAAAAATAGGGTAATGTCCTTAACAAGCAGCAAATGAATGGAAGCTTTCCCATGACTGGAACCAGTATGAAAGCATGGAATACCAAAAGATGGAGGAAAAGGGTAGTGGATACTAGATGTGGTGACAGACAATTCATGGAAAAATTAATGTATCCATCATTGGTTGTTGTGGGTTTTTCAGGCTCTTTGGCCGTGTTCTGAAGGTTGTTCTTCCTATCATTCTTAACTATGGGAGTTGGGCAGCTAGCTATGTGAGCTGCATAAAAAGCAGCTTACTTATATGAAAATCATCTTCCTGCACTCCTCTGTGCAGTGACATAATAAGGTTGTAAACATACATAAGGTAGTTCCAGAATCTCTCAGAGCCCCTCAGCTTGAACCTCATACTCAAAAGAGGGTTAGTTCCATGTCAGTTCCTTCTGATGAACACCAAAAATTTCAAACAATCGAGAGCCTGTAGTGGCTGAGAAGGAGAGTTAACAGTGTACGTGGCTGCACAAATGCCATCTTGAAGAACATTAATTCCAGATTTGCTCTTTGTCTTTCTCCCCCATGCAGTTCTATAACTGGATGACTGGCTAGCTGCCATATATGAAGGTGAAATTAAATTGAAAAAGATTCTGAAGAACAGCTCTACCAAAAGCAGTTTCAGAAAAAATGTTAACACTGAGAGCACCATGCCCAGTTAGCCCAAACAGAACAACCTATACAGCAGCCTTGCTGAGACTATAAACAGAAATGGGTATTCTTGGGAAGAAGCCTGATGACATATCACCTCCTAAAACTGAATGATCCCTGATTCTCAAGGAAGACAGTGGCTTCCAACTGGTAACACAGATCAACAGTAGAAGCTGTCCAGTGAGAAGGCTTTTATAAACACACATTTGGCTTGATGAGAGGATTTATTTTGAAATTTCAGAGTTCTGTAGCTCTAAGAAGACAGATAGTAATACATCTGGAGTCTAATTAATGCATCTCATAATTTCAAGGCTGTGATGGGGGGGGGGAGCCAAAAGCACTTACTTTGAGCCAAACTCTGTCATCCAATAACATTTTCTCCCTGTCTGTGTCTTGAAGAACATCATCATTCATACAAGGGAACCAAGCCATTTGAGGCTGAGACTCCATTGTGCCTTCAGGACGAGGCCTACATACCTAAAAAAAGGAATTTTCATTGTGGTGGGAGCAGATGGGAAAGGAAGGGTTGTTGCATGGGAAAAATTTAGTTCCATTAGAAACAAGGAAATGGGAAAGTCATAAGTGAAACTCAGCAAAAAAAAACCCGGCCACATACAATTTCTCCACCCTATTTGTAAATGACAGAAATGCGGGTGGGATTTCACCAAATATTCTTTCAAGGGGTGGAAAACTATAACAGTTCCAGTGGAGTCTCTCACTGCCATTTTTGTGTGGTGGCTTCCACCTTCCCATCCTAAAAACTCTGTAAGAACACTATGTCCAAAGCATTGTAGAATAGAAAAGTGTGTCTGATGCCTCAGGACAAGAGCTCTGTTGTTGGCTCCCTATGGTTGTAGCAAAAGAAGTGTAAAGGCAAAGAATACAAATAAAAAATTACAGGAGGAAATCCTATTGAGACCATATAGAGCTCCTCAAGACAACTCTTGTCAGAGGCTTGTGCTGGCTCCCCGTCCTCAAGGGTTGTTAATCTCTGACTGCTATCACGGCAACTAACTGGGAACTAGAAATCTCCAAGAGAAAGCAGTGGAACACATCAAGTGTATTATAAAGTATGATACTCTGTGCAATTGTTAGAGTGATGGACTGGGACTCAGGAGACCTGGATTCAAGTAATGGAAACTGACTAGGGGAGTGGTAAAACCACTCCTTAAGTATCTCACTTACCTTGAAAATTCTATTCGGGTCAGTATAATTTGGTTCCAACTTGATGACACATACTAACTGTGATGGAGTTGAAGCAGTATGGGATATGTAGTCAGAGAAATGTAAGATGGAGTCAGACAGGTTCTCTGTGAAGATGATTTGAGAGACATTGGAATGTGTTTTTCTAAGTGCTTTGAGCGTGTTTTCTGAAGCGTGGTTCGAGATAAAGCTGAAGGTCAAACAAAGGAGCCCATGAAAGACTCATTTTAAGCTAATTGAAGAAGAGATAAAACACCTGAATTTTCATGGGAATTGAGGAAGGAGGAAGAAGTTATAGACCCTCAAGGCCAATTGGTTAACAGCCATGAAGTGTCAAGAAGGGAGGAGTTAGAGAATGTAGAAAATGGACAATGGGTTATGTGGAAGAAGTTCAGAAGCCCTATTCCTTGATGATGGGAGAAAAAAAAACTTGATGGTTTGAGTATGTGGCTTGAAGGAAAAAGAATGTAAGTAGAGAGAAAGAAGGAGGTGGGGTTAGCCCACCTTAGCCCAGATTAATAGTGTTTATTATTTTAATGGGGGTTAGTTATTTTATTTAATTGTAATAATCATTGGATATGTTCTTTATGTTAAAGTTTGAGCAATATAAACTGATTCTATGAAATTCTATTTTTCTAATAAAAATTAATTATAAAAATCCTTACAAAGGACTGGTATCTTGAACAGCAGGGGCTGGCTAAATCCAGGAGGTGGAGAGGGCCACAAACTAGCTATCTTTAAGAGCCCTACCTAACTGAGCTGTACTGCATTCTAAGAAATCACAAAGCCTATGTGCCTGTACTTTCAAAGTACAGAGTAAAAGTAAAGTGTTCTTATAAGGACAGACTTGTTCAAGGAGCTTACGCTACGCACTGCGGAGGTTTTGGGACTTGCCTCAGCACAAAAGTGGTAGGTAAGTGGCCTGTCGAACTCTCTGACCGAGTGCTAAGCACTCCTTAGGGAGGCTAGGGCACCACACTAACAATTATGAGTATATTGTATCAGATTTTGTTTCCTTTGGCCCCAAACTAGCAGCTTGGCAGTTATTCTCCATGACCTAAGTCCTCACTCAGGACTGATCCATACCATTTTAGATTAGTAGTAGTAGGCATACTTCAGTCTTGAGAGACTATGGTAGTGTGCGCTGAATAGAGATCTTGGAACAGCGTCTAGTGTGTCTGAGAAGGCCAATTCGAGAGTGACAATTCCTTCCACACTGAAGACAAATACAATCTGTCCCCTGTCCAGCTCCCTGATTTGGCTTGTTTCAGGACTGTCTCTTTCCCTCAGCTTGCTGCACAAGTGTCTCTTCAAATTGGGAGAGGCCATGATGCACCGCCTGCCTCCAGGCTGAATGCTCAGATGTCAAAGTTTCCGATCTGTGTATGTGATTCCCCCACTTCTGACTTCATGGATAGAGCTTTATTGCCCCAGGTCTTCTTGCCTTACTACATTTCACTGGAAACAGAGGTCGGGGACTAAATCGGGACCTTGTGAAGGCAGATGTCCTCTACCAAGCTATATCTCCTCTATCTTCTAAGAAAGGGAAGAGGATGCACTTTATGATTGCCAAGGAATAGATGCTGCAATGAAATGCAGGAGCAGATGAAGACAGGAATCATCGCAGCCCTTGGCATTTAAGAAGAAAACTCACTCACAGAATTCAGTCCATCCCAGTTCAGAGTAGGATCCATAGCTGGCAGACTTGGGAAGATCACAATACAAGGGCTTGTATATGAAAAAACAAACAAAACCCCTTTTCCTCACCCTCACAAAAGGTTCTCCAGTCACCAAGGAAACTGGGCATGCTTTCTCATCCTGGTGGGAGGCGTAGGCCTCTGATGCCCACTGATCTATATAGTCTTTAGGAGTGTAGAGGCCACAGTCAACAATGCTGCTGCTTTTCTCAAAGGGCTCACAAATGCCATCACCATCATGGATGTAGCACAGGCTAGGTTCACCTGCAAATAAAAATAAAATAAAAAAGGGTGTGAATGGTGAATCTGGGACATATTTCACAGCAACCTAAGAAGAGCATTCAGTATTAAAACACACAGCCACCTAATACTAAGGTTCAGCCCTGGAGCACTGCACCTACACATATACCTCTTTGATTCCCTCTTTCACTTCTCACTATAACTGGAGTTATCTTTCCTGGTTGACACAGTTTTTCTCTCCCATTCCTTAAAAGATGCTTAAATCTTCTAACTTTTCTACTTTTGTTATACTGATTTTAGTCTTTTACTGTTGCTACTACCATTCATTATGGCATATATTTTGAGGAGGCATACCAAATAGGATTCTACAAGCAAAATCAAAACATACATTCTGCCCCAAACAAAAAATTACTACTGTGAAACTGGATCTCAGATCACTACCAAATTTGGCAAAACTGCAGCAGAAAATCAGCTCTTGCTCTGTGCTAAATTTGGGAACATTCGGGCAAAGGGTTTTTGAGATGTGTTTTTTTAAAAAAGTAACAGTGTTCTACCCCTGTAAAAACATAAGCAACCATTCTGACATCTAATATAAAAGAGATGAAAAAGCTAGAGAAGACAAAATTTGCATATCTGAAGAGAAAAACCTCTGTTTTAATCTGCTTTTTAACTCCTAAAACTTCTAAAATTGCTCCCTTTTTTTACAACTTCTGAGAATTCCAAAGAAATTATTTCCATAGCATAGCATTCTGGCCAATCAGAATGTGTCTCCAGTTAGCCAATAGTGCAGGTGCCTGCCAAGTTTAACAGCGCCATGGCCTTCAGTGTGAAAGAAAGCAGTTACAGTGGTACCTCAACTTACAAACTTAATCCGTATTGGAACGGCATTCGTAAGTCGAAATGTTTGTAAGTCGAAGAACCATTTCCCATTGAAATGCACGGGAATGGGATTAATCCATTCCAGCATTTCAAAAAATACAAATAATAATAATAAATAAACAGAGCAAGTCCCACGCTGGGACTGCAAAAAACTAAAAATCCAAAACCAAAACAACACACCACAGAAACATAACCACCCCAGTACAAAACCCACCCAGAACAGTTTTTTTTTAAAGGAAAAAGGAGCACCTTACCCGTCTGAAGCCTCCTCAGCCTCCCGGCGCTCCACTGCCTCCGCCACGGCCAGGGGCGAGCGGCCAAGAGTCGGGGCGCTGGGTGACTGCTGCCTCCGATCACGTTGGTGGGGGACCCCTGGGAGGTCTCCCAGGGCTTCCCCACCACCACTGGAGACCTCCTGAGGGTCCCCTGCCACCACAATCAGTGACTTCAGGCTTTCCCAGGGGGTAGACTGGGCCTACCCCCAAAAAAGCCTGGTAGACCGGGCCTACCAGGGGAGGGTAGACCTCCGAAGGCGCCGATCACGCTGGCGGGAGACCCCGAGGAGGTCTCCAATGGCAGCGTGGAAGCCTTGGGAGACTTCCCGGGATCTCTCCGCTGCCATCGGAGACCTCCTGGGGGTCACTTTTCCTAACCATTGGGGCAAAAAAGGAGCCTTTTTGCCACCAACGGTTTGAATGGAAGGAAAAAAAGGCAGGGGAAATTTGAATTTCCCGTCCTTTTCCCCTGCCTTTTTTCATTCGCAAGTTAAGGCTTTGTTCGCAAGTCGAAGCAACATTTTGCAAACGGAGACGTTCGTAACTTGAGGTACTACTGTAACTCCTTCCTGAACACACATTCTTACCTCCTTCTTGTGGAAGTATTTTAAAAGCTATTTTAAAAAAACAATAATATACAGCAGCTCACTCGTTTAAACATGAAATTACTATATATTTTTTCCTTTGTGGCTTTGAATGGTCTCAAAGCACATTTTACTCAATTTCCTCATGAGAAAGTTTACCCAGTTTACTCATACATTTATGAATTGCCATGATTTCACATAATTTTAAATGTAATCCTCCCTAAACCAATGTCAGATCATAGATCCTATTTTTATCCACAGACTACACCACAGAAGTCATGAGTCCTTCAGCGCATAGCTTTGCAGTGGTGCAAAAACATGGAGACGGTGCACAGATCTTCATGGATCCATATTATTTTTCTGAAGGATCATCTTAAATCCACACACCAAACATAGGTCCCATCTATACCCATCAAACTACACCACAGAAACCATAGGTCACCCAGCACTGGTGCAAATACATGAATCTGATGCATGGAACCCCATGAATCCATGTGATTTAGATGTAGGATCACCCCCAAACCACTGTCCAATTACAGGCCCCATCTATGTCCACACACTAAAAAACAGAATTTATGGATCTTTCAGCACATGGCCTGAAAGGATTATCCCGAAACCACTGTCCAGACACAGGCCCTGTTTGTGCCCATAGATTACAACGCAGAAATCATGAGTCCCTGAGTGAATGGTGCAAAAACACTGATCCAAGTAATGTAAAATAGCAAGAACAAGAGTAAGAGCTACGAGGTCGTCTACAGATCATCAAGGGCTCCTGGCAAGAGATGGGCTGCACCTCACAAGGACTGGGAAGAACGTGTTTGGCAGACACCTTGCTCCACAAATCTTTAAACTAAATCTGCAGGGGGAAGGAGGATAATCTCTAGGACCAAACACAAAGCACAAACCCCTTGACATGGAACTTGACAATGAGGACGGAAGTGGTGAGAAGAGACACTCAAGTATGTAACATGAGACACAGCAAGCAAACGAAAGGTCAGCCAGAAAGGGCTCAGATGCGTATACACTAATGCTCAAAGTATGGGGAACAAAGTGGAAGAACTTGAAGTCCTAGTACATGTGGGCAGGTATGACATTGTTGCCATGACCGAAACTTGATGGGACGAAACCCATGGTTGGAATATGCTGCTAGTAAAGGTTGCCCTTGACATTTAGTCCAGTCGTGTCCTATTCTAGGGTGCGGTGCTCATCCCCATCTCCAAGCCGTAGAGCCAGTGTTCAGAGACAGTTTCTGTGGTCATGTGGCCAGCACGACTAGACACGGAACGCTCTTACCTTCCCACCGTGGTGGTACCTTATTTATCTACTCGCATTTACATGCTTTCGAACCGCTAGGTTGGCAGAAGGATTACATCCTTCTATGCTGCTAAAGGTAACGGTAAAGGTTCCCCTTGACAATTTTTGTCCAGCCGTGTTCGACTCTAGGGGGCGGTGCTCATCCCCGTTTCCAAGCAATAGAGCCAGCGCTTTGTCCGAAGACAATCTTCCGTGGTCACATGGCCACTGTGACTTAGACACGGAACGCTGTTACCTTCCCACCGAGGTGGCCCCTATTAATCTACTCGCATTTGCATGCTTTCGAACCGCTAGGTTGGCGGGAGCTGGGACAAGTGACGGACGCTCCCTCTGTCACGTGGATTCGATCTTACGACTGCTTGGTCTTCTGACCCTGGAGCACAGGCTTCTGCGGTTTAGCCCGCACCGCCACCACGTCCCTAGATGTGGTGCTAGAAGGATGTAATTTGTTCAAAAGAAACAGACCTAACAAAAGACGAGGAGGTGTTGCACCGTACATAAAGAATTACTACTCGTGTACTGTAATACAGGAGACCAAGGATGAAAGTCTTCCTGAAGCTCTTTGGGTGAATATTAGGGGGAAAACAAATGACACAGGTGTAGGCAGGTACTAGAGGCCACCTAACCAAGCAGAGGAAATAGACAAACATTTTTCAAATCACTTAGCTGAGATGTGTAGGAAGCACACCACTGTAGTCATGGCGTACTTTAACTACCCAGATATCAATTGGGAAATCAACTCTGCAACAAGTGGGAGATCCAACAGGTTCCTGACATGCCTGGCTGACAACTTGATCATCCAAAAGGTGGGGGAGGGAACTAGAGGGTCAGCGATACTGGACTTAATACTAATAGGCAGGAAATAGTTGAGGGAGTAGAAATTGGAGGAACTTTAGGAGAAAGTGACTATGTCATATTAGAATTCACCATCATGCAGGCAAGGGTAACTGTACTAAGTCAGACTAATGTTCTAGATTTTAAGAGAGCTGACTTTAACAAACTAAGAGATGTAATAGGAAGGATTCCATGGATGGAAATCCTAAAGGGAAAACAGTTCAGGATGTTTGGGAAACCCTGAAAGGCGAGATAATAAAGGCCCAAACCAGAACAATACCACAGAGAAAGAAAAAAGAGAGACATCTGACAAGATCGCCATGACAAGCTAAGGGACCAAAAGGAGAAGTATGAAAAACTGAAAAGGGACTCATAACTAGAACAGAATACCAACAAATTGCTCAAATCTGCAAGGATGGAGTCAGGGTTAAAGCTCAGAATGACTTGCAACAAACGGCAAAAATAACAAAAAAGTTTATTTCAACATGTAAGGAGCCAGAGGAAAGTCAAGAAAATGGTTGGTCCATTAGTGGGAGAAGATTACAAGAAGGTGACAAGCAACAGGGAGAAAGCAGAACTGCTTAATTCTTTTTTTAAAATCTGTATTTACAAAAAAGAAAAATTGGTCCACCCTGTCCAAAGCAGCACTGTTGGAGACAGAAGAGGGAAGCAGGTCAAAAAGGGTCAGGAAGTGGTAAAAGAACACCTAGCTGCTTTGAATGAGTTCCGGGTCTTCTGTACGAGTTTGGTTTCCATCCCAGGGCACTAAAAGAACTGGCAGATGCAGCAGTCATGAAGCCTTAGACCTTGTGTGGGCAATCCACAGTCACATGCATTCTTCAGGACTGCGGTTCCTCATTCACATGTTTGAGCTGCCACTCCGAGCTTCATGTTGATTTCATTGCTAAGGCTAGTGCTGCTAAAATATGGGATTGGCACACTGCAGACTTGTCTTAAAATGTTATGTTCACCCATTTTTGCAAGCTGCCTATGGCAGGCTTTGCACTAAAAGAAAACATCCAGATCTTGTAATTAGAAGAAAGCTATTTGCCTCAAATTATCATCAGACATGCTTCTTCCAGATTCATCAACATTATACAGATGCTACAGGTCATATTTTGTTCTTTAACTAATTATAGGCTCTTTATGCTTTCATGAAAGAGCCTGAGAAAAACAGTGGTGCCTCGACTTACAAACGCCCCTACCTATGAACATTTCGACTTATGAGCAGCTCCGCCCGTAAAATTTGGCTTTGACTTGGGAGCGAAGCTTCGACCTAACAACAGAAAAAGCCAGGGGAAAAGGGCGGGAAATTCAAACCATTGGTGGCAAAGAGACTGCTTCTTTGTAGTCCTTTCGCCCCAACAGTTAGAGCAGGGGGGCAGGGAACTTTTTTACTCCTGAGGTGCAGGAGAAGGAAGGAGAGACGGGGGCAGCTCCAGATCAGTGATGATATGGGTCTACTCATGAGTAAGGGTTGCCGAAGCGGTTGGGCTGGGGCACGCGAGTTGGAGAGGTTCCTCCGTGGATGGAGTGTGCAGCGGCAGTGCAGGAGGAGGAAGGAGAAGCGGGTCAGCTACAGATTGCTGCCAGACACGGAAAGCCAGTGCGCTCCCTGCCCATCCCTGATGCGGGTCTACTTATGAGTAAGTGCCCACTGCCACCTTGGCTTCCCTACGCCGTCGGCTGGGGCCTGTCGCTGGCCGCCAGAGTGACTGCCATCGGATGAGGCTTCGGTCTGCCTGGTAAGGCGCTGCTTTTTACTTTTTAAAAACTGCTGGGTGGGTTTGGGCTGAGGAGGATTATGTTTCTGTGCTGTGTTGTTTTTTGGGTTGGTTTTTTTCAGTCCCAGCATGGGGATTTTTGGGGTTTTGTCTGTTTGTTTGTTGTACCCTTCGAGGTTTGCTCTGTTTATTTTTGGTTGTTTTTTTAAAAAGCCCCAGCATCTTCCGATGGGGATTTCTGTGCGCTTTATTTTATTTTATTGGTTTTTTTTTAAAAAAAAAATGCTTGAATGCATTAATCCTGTTCCCATGCATTTCAATGGGAAATGGTGTTTCAACTTCTGCGCATTTCCACTTGCGAACATCTTCTGGGACAATTAAGTTCAATTAAGTTCGTAAGTTGGGGCACCACTGTATATGGGAATCTCAAATCTGAAGTACATATGCAGCAGAATGACATGGTTACTAGATCTCCCAGATCAGTTGATTTCAGTTAACAGATATTTTTATGACAGAGAGGAGACAACAAAGGTATCCCCGTTTTAGAATGGCACAATTCATATTGCTTTTCTCCAAACACCTTTCCAAGTTCTGCAAAATCTTACATTGCCTTCAGAAGAATGTATATAAAATAAGACGTGGCTAAATTTGAGGAAAACCAGTCATTATAAAGAAAAGAGGATATCTGACTTTTTGGACTCACCTACACAGTGGAATCCTTTTTCAGTTTTACAGGTTCTAGAGCAACCATCCCCATCTCTCAGATCTCCATCATCGCACTCTTCTGCAAGAACCCTAACATAACAACAACAGCAGCAACAACAACCCTCAGCATTTATATAGCATTTATGGAGTTTTCAAAACTTTTCACGTATGTTATCTTTTTTCTAATGATTGCAACAGCTTATCTATCAGAAAAAGTTTGCATGTGCTTTGCAACTGATGAAAATGTATCAAACCCCCTACTCTTTTCCTTAAAAATTCAGGTTTTGCTGTCATAAGAAGGTATGACAATATACTTTATAAGAAATATATGTTATAAAAACTGCTGTTTATTTGTTTTGTTACAAGGGCATTTTTAATTTGTAAATGTGTGTATTTCTAAGCTGACTCAAGATGGATTACTCAGGGAAAAATGAAATATAAATGTTAAGTGTGATTACTGCTGCAAAGTAAAAAGCTACTTTAAAAAAAATCCCAAATTTGAAAATTCAGGGTGAAAGCTCAAAATATGTTAGCCCCTGGGAATTTTTCCACTACCTTCAGTATTAACTTCCTGAAAAGGTTATGTAACTTTGTATAAGTCTCTCAACCTTTTTCTCTTCAATCATTACTTCTGACAAAGTGAGGGCACAGAGAATAAGAAGTTTGGTTCTGAAAATGGTCTCGCTACTAACCTGGGCAATTTTAAACCATGTCTGGATAAATCTCCAGCCCAAACTAGGAATCAATGTTCAACTCCAATACTGGCAGTATTTATGCCTAAATAATTCTATCAATTCTTGGCTTTAAAAACCCATGGCTTTGAGAACATTTATTTTGGAGGGGGGTACTTAATTGGGTTTTTTTTTTCTTAACAGAAAACAGTGAAAACTGTTTGCCTAAGGGATGAGTCAGATTAACAGATCTTAGCACTTGGTGTCCTTGACTTCAACATGTATAAATTTTATTGAGGCTTTCAGCCACTTTAATAACTTGATATATAAAGACGGAGTATAACATGTTGAATCAATCAATCAATCAATCAATCAATCAATCAATCAATCAATCAATCAATCAATCAATCAATCAATAACCCACCAACCAACAAACACGTTAATGAATGTAAAAAGTCAAAATGGTAGTGTCCTCATAAGTCTGTAAGGTAGGTTAATTATTTACTCATCAATACAAATGTATTGTTTAATGTATTAAAAATGGGAACTGAGGCCAAATTCAACCCCCCTGGAGTGCCCTTCAAATTAATCCATGGGATATTGTTTAGCACCTCAATTTTCTCAGGAATAATCCTTGAAAGTAGTTCCCACATAAAACAACAGATAGCTTTCTCCATTTCTTTGCTTAATGTTTCTCCTAGAAGGCTGTCTCTGAGAAGTGGCATACCTACTGGAAAGGGAAAACCTAATGGTTTCCCATGAGGAGCAGGCTTTTGGCCTACCTGTTTCTAGTTTCTTTGGGGGTCTTCAAAGCAGCCCTTCTTCAATGCAAGGGAAATGTGTGTGCTTCAAAGAAAGGATAAGCATAGCTATCTTCTCAAGGTTAAATTTTGATTTAACCCAGAAAAGACTTTAGGGATTTTTAACGGTCCCCTCTCTTCTGTGGAAAGAATTACAGAGCCATCAAGGATTATTTGTGAACCTGCCTTCTGTCTGATTCAATAATGTTTCAGTCGGGGGGGAGGGAGAACATGCATGGTTGCATACAAGAACTCTTGAGCTACTGTAAGTATATGATACACTTTGGTATACAAATTCTAATGAAAGTCAAAGTAACAGCTGCAAATTTGTATGAAAATCCCTCTAAAAGCCATTGGACATATCTGCATATGAATATACATTTAGGGGTAGCTTTGAATAAATCTAGCTTGCAACAGTAATTCCAAAAAAAACACAAGGATATATAAGATATACCAGCTGAAATCCTGTTGTGCACTTATGCAAATGACATGATTTTTTCTATGTGAATTGCCTAGATTTAGAAACATCCATAGACATTATCTGTTGCATTCTAAGTTGTGCAATTCAGTATGTAACAGAGATTTTTTTTAAATTATGAAAATTTGCTTCCAAAGGTTATGCTGTTTACACAACTGTACAATAGGATTTCAGCTGTTGAGTAGTTTCTGTGGATATCCCCAAAGATCACAGATTAAAAAAGGGAGGAAACCTTGCAGAATAGGAAGGGTTCTGCACATCCTTAATTACTTATTTTGGCATTCATATGATTTAATGGACACAGGAGCAATAAGATCTATGGAGCTACTACTGTAGCTCCTGGCTCAATCAAACAATGCTTAAAGATACAAAAAATAAAAAGAACCTCTGTCTCAAAGAATGACTGGCTGAAATCGAGTTGCTTTGTTACTCGTGTAGAAGGCAAACGGTGTAACATTCAGTTGCTTCCAGTTGGCAATTAACAAGTTGCAGTTGGCATTCTTTGGACTGTGTGTACCTGCTGGCTTAGTATCTGTTCAACAATCCCAGTGGGGGCTTGATAACTGCCAGTGAAAAGGCACTGAAAGTTGTGCCATTTGATATCTGTACACACAACAAAGCAACAGGATTTCAGCTGTTATGTTGTTTTTTTTACTCACATGTTTATTTTCCCATCCCCACAATAGGGAGAACCGTGGATGTGGAACAGAGGTGGAGAGGCTTCACTCATGGTGGCTCCTGCCCCAGCCTGCACCTGATATCGATACAGCTGGCCTAATGTGACGTCCCTGGAGAAGTAAGCAGAATCAGATCTTAAAAGAGAACCAAGAATGTAAAATTGGTGGGCTCCCCCCCCCCCGGTACTGTACAAAGATTTATACTAGGAGAGACAACTGCTGGCTCACAGGCTCAGTTCTTCACTTAAGACTTCCCATCTGAAACCCATACACATCCCCAGATTCCTAAGGCTTAATCTAGGGGTGGGCAAAGTGTTCCCCTCCATATATAATTGGAATGCATCTCCCAACATTCCTTACCACTAGCTGTGCTGGCAAAGGTTGGTAGGAACTGCACCAACACCTGAAAGCTGTATTTTTCCCATCTCTGATTTAAGTTTAAGTAACAATCTGTGGTTTTCCAATGTATTCCTTTCCATAAAGTTTTTCTTCCCCCAACTATAACTCTTGGAATCTCCCAGCTAGGATGCCCAGTGACTCCCCAGGATCCAGGAGATGTAATCTAAAAATGAAGTTTTCCAACCACTGAGCAATTCAAACTCTGCTAGAGTAGCAGATTTTGAATCTTGCTGTGATCCATCTTCGGTCTCACTTCTGGGAGGAGGGAATATAAATCAAATAAATAAATAAATAAGAAACTAGTTCCTTCCTCAGAAACTGGCCAGTTGCCAAAAACCCTGACCAAAATATGTGTTTGTCTATTTGTCTGTCTGTTTTTCTATGCTGCCTTTCTGCCAGTGTGGGGGAAAAGTTGGAGAAACCCCTTTCTAGAACCAGAGCATCACTTTTCATTTCTATTTATTCTTTCGAAATATTTTGAAAGCCTAGCTCTGGAGCTAGATCTAGAACACACAAGACCTTGATACAGAAGTAGAATACAAAGAGAAGGTTAACCATGAAAACACTGATTATTGTAATGGACTTAAAGAGACAGAAAGCATCTCTGCCAGGAATTATAAAAACAAGATACCTGTAGTACTAGTATTCTTCATCTGGTGTGATAGATTAAATTGAAGGCACCTCAACCTAAAATGAATCTAATCAATAGCAACTCCACCCCTTTGTTCTTTTACTTTTTAAAGAGCTGCATTTATGTATTTATTTATCAATAAAAGAGATGGACTGAGGAAAAGGAAGAAAGAGTTAGGAAGATAAAACAAGTAACTGGACCATGGATATAGTATTTAGCAAACAATGTTTTGTTATGGTTGTTGTGAGTTTTCTGGGCTGTTTGGCCATGATCTTAAGGTTTTTCTTCCTAACATTTCACCAGTGTCTGTGGCTGGGGGGTTCTTGGTGGGA